TCCTCCTCCTCCTCCTCCTCCTCCTCCTCCTCCTCCCCCCCGCCCACCAATCGCCTGCGTTCCTGTCGCTTCGCCCGCTTAGCCCCCCGCGCGGGTTCTTCCGGAGGTGGCGGCCTCATCCTGCGTTGCGCTACGCGCCAATCAATGCGAGCGCGCATGATGCCCCAGGCCCGGCAGGCGGCGGGGCGGCGGGGGTGCGCAGAGCGCCCATGCTATCTTGTAGTGGATGCCACGGGTCGCGTTCCATGGGGCGACCATGAGCTCGCCCATCGAGCGGGCGCACCTGGGAACGCCCGCCCCCCCCCCCCCCGCCCCCCAGGGCAACAACTCAGCTGCCCTCCTGACTTCTTAGTTAGCCCCCCCATTGCAATGGCAACTATTCTCGCGTCTTGGCTGGGCCAGCCTGTCTTGGGCTGTCTTTGGGCCACGAGGCGGGGCTTTCCCTGGCGTTTCCGGCGATGTTCCTGGCACTGCACGTGTATGTGATGTGTGTGATGTGTGTGGTGTGCATGTCGAGGTAGTATGTGCATGATGTGCGCGTGTGTTTACACATGTGTCAGTACGCGTATATGCATATGCTTCTGAGTTGTCGCAGGGACCCGCGCGTAACAACATCAGACGAACATATTATGTAAATGCCAACGTATGTATGTGAATACGTATATGTACACAAATATGTATATGCATGGGTGGTGAACATGTATATGATGCATACACTGCTGCCGCGTGCAAATACTGCATGTACTTCAGTCAGATATCAAATATGACTTGATCCTTTCTTCCTGCTCCTGCTCCTCTCTCTTCCTGGCCCCTCCTCCTGCTCCTCCTCCTCATTTAATTGAATATGCGCTTGCCTTGGACAAGCGCATCCCCCTGCCTGTGGATGATGCCCCCCATGGGGCCCGCCCTTTTTTTCTGTGTGTTCACGCATTATAAGCCCCCTGGGGCCGCGAGGGATATAAGCCCACGCATCATGCATTTCACCAGCGCGGTGTTGCTGAAGCCCGCGGATGGGGAGTGCGAGAAGATGATTCTTCACGCGTCGTCTTGTTTGCCTTTGAACTCGGTACTGTTTCTTGCCCCTAGCCTTCGGGTATAAAAAGCATGGTAGTCGTCTCATCGTCAGGGGGAGGCCCCTCTCGTCCCACCACCCCTTTCCTCCTCACTCCAGTGGGGGGAGCAGCAACAGCAGCAGCAGCAGCAGGCGGAGGCCGGCCAGAC